GAGCCTGATCTGACCCTTAAGTGGCTTGGGCTTTAGGGAAGTTACATGCTGCTGAACTTTCACAAGTGGTCACTGGTATTTTTAGTCCCATCTTTTTGTTTTTTGCTAGAGATACTGAGTTCCTATGTATTCAGCATGACAGATGATCATACTGGAGGTCACAAATTTAGACACCCCTCCAAACTGGTAGTAATTTTTGAAAATATTGGTTTTAACCTCACTGAGACAGCCTCAGCCCTGCTCAGATTTATCTGTCACATTAGGAATAAGTTTGTCCCTCTGTTTCTAGAGCTATAAAGTGGGGGAAATTACACTTGCCAACTTCCTTCATTGGCATTTGGTGAGCAATAGTGCTTGTACAGGGCTCTGATAATGACATATTACAATAGATATCAGATGATCTAAGCTATTCCCTATTTGGATGAAGATAATCTAGTGTCTGGCTAACTAAAAGTCATTAGAGATACTGCTCAGCTTTTGGAAAGGAAAGTTCAGATAATGGGTGACATGGTGATGAGAGCAACACATGACCATGAGTGCCAGCCTTAGGACAGGCTGTGGACAGAGACTTCACCTGGCAGAGTGCTCTATAATTTAGATTTTTATCAGCCCAGTAAGAAATGTGCATTCCTGAAGCAGTACAACAGTCTAACCATGAAGTCTCAGACATTGAGCATTACAGTCTATCTTGCCACCCAGGCATGCTGTATTTAGTGGCAGTTGTTTTCTGTACACCAAAGACCCCAAAATATTCAGATGGCTCCTCATCCCAACAAGTCCAATCACTTACCCCAGATCAATTTGAGCCTTCGATCTCTCACCAAAGACAATGCTTGTAGCCAATGCTGGAGTAAACTATCAAAGGAATTATTAACTTAAGAAATGAATAACATCACCGGGCAAACACATAGGATGTGTCTACACTGGCACCTTTTTCCGGAAATGCTTAAAACGGAACAGTTTTCCCTTATAAGTATTTCCGGAAAAAGAGCGTCTACATTGGCAAGATGCTTTTCCGGAAAAGCCCCTTTTCCGGAAAAGCGTCCGTGGCCAATGTAGACGCGCTTTTCCGGAAAAAAAGCCCCGATCATCATTTTCGTGATCGGGGCTTTTTTGCGGAAAAGACTATGGTGCTGTCTACACTGGCCCTTTTCCGGAACTGTTTTCCAGAAAAAGGACTTTTGCCCGAGCGGGAGCAGCCTAGTTTTTCGGAAAAGCAGCTGATTTCTTACAGTAAATCGTCACTGCTTTTCTGGAAATTCAAGGGGCCAGTGTAGACAGCTCACAGCTTATTCCGGAAAAGCGGCTGCTTTTCCGGAATAAGTGGCCCAGTGTAGACACAGCCATACACAAATGAGTGACAATCTATGGTTTTAAAAGGTGACAGAGTTATCGCAATATGTCAGCTCTGAATATCTGTTAAGGATAAGCTGGGTTGACCCAAGGGATCTTTGCTTCTCTTTTGTAGCTCCAGCCTTGTGCCACTCTAAGCAGCAAAAAGATGAAATATTTTCTAGTCTGCTATGTTTATTTCCTTCTTCCAGAATTCAGGCTAGTGAGTCTTGCCCTTTTGCATGTTGCCTCTTCATGGGGGTGAGGGAGCAATTAACAAAGTCCTTGTGGTGTGATGTCCTGGTTCGTTCTAATAGGCCTTCTTGATAGGCAGAGGACAGTCCCTTCTCTGTTCATAGTTTCACAGAAAACATTTTTACAGTTATAAAACAAAAATGTAATTATTTCTTTATAGCATGTAATAAAATATATGTGAAATTAATGTACAACACAACTTTTTATAAAGTCTAAGCGCATTGTTATAAATCCTCACCATGCTAACACACAGACTGGTTTCCAGCAAAGAATTTCAATGCTTGGCTGAGGCCTAAAGCCTTCATCTGGTCTGCTGATATCACATGAGTATTTGAACAATTGAAACATTGCCAGCTGTTTAGAAAGACTCTTTAACCAACTCATTCTTTGTTTGTATCACTCGTGAATAATGTGGTCAGAGCAAAGGTATGGCAATAAAACACAAAGGCTGTCTCTCCATTGGCATGATCTTGCGCAAATACTCTTTAATGCGAGAGTTCTTGTGTTAAAGTATTTGCGCAAGAGAGCGTCTACACTGGCATGTGCTTTTGCACAAGAGCATCCGTGCCAGTGTAGACACTCTCTTGCGCAAGAAAGCTCCGATGGGCCATTTTAGCCATCGGGCTTTCTTGCGCAAGAAATTCATGTTGCCTGTCTACACTGGCCTCTTGCACAAGAACAGTTGCACCAGAGGGCTTTTTCCTGAGCGGGAGCATCATAGTTCTTGTGCAAGAAACACTGATTTCACACATTAGAACGTCACTGTTCTTGTGCAAGAACTCCCCGCCAGTGTAGACAGGTTCATGTTTTTGTGCAAAAGCGGCCGCTTTGGTGCAAGATCATGCCCGTGTAGACACAGCCAAAATGCACAGCCCATAAAAATCTTCTCCACCCCAATACAGTTCTATACGTGTTATGCTTTGTTTGAACTGTCTGAATCTTTAAAAGTGTTCTTCTGTACTGTCAGGAAGGAAATGTTATCATCTTATCAATAGGCAGAGGGGATAAAGACTGTGCTTAATATCTGAGAATCAGCATTTTGTAGCTGGCTATAAAGGTTTTCATTTCTAGTTCAGGATTCAGATTCAGCCAAGTGGCAAACATCAATGAGAAATTAGTAAAGTGGTCACTGCCCAGTAACTAGTACTTGGGAGTGCAATCCTGTCTCCTGTGAAGTCAATGAGAGTTTTGCCACTGATTGAAGTGGGGATGGGATTTCACCCCAGATGTTCGCCTCACAAAAACAAGAGTCAGAAATGGAGCTCTTGAAGGCAGTTGTAATATCCTGGGACAAGCCTTCTGATATTGCTACGCATGCCTTTAGAAAAGCTGCATGAGAAAGATGGTCTCAGAGGATACACCATGGGTTATGCTAAGCTCGGTGCATATTAAAACAAGACTCTTAAGAGTTTAGTCAATAGGGTGTGGCTCTTCATGTACTGTAGATATGACAAAATATATGGCTCAAGGAATCAAATCTGTAATTGAAACAAAGTCTTAATGACCTGTGATACAACAGCTTTCCTGGCATAAGATATCAAGGAATTGTTTCTCATGGGCACTGAACTAACTCATCTCTCTGTACAGTAAGTGATCTCCCTGAGGTTGGGATTGAGACACAGTTGAGGAGCCACTGCTCTGTAGTGTGTGCATGATGGACTCCCCAAGTGCAAAGTGAGGAAGGCAAAGTGAAATGGAATGAGGGAGGGATAAGAATGAGAGGAAAACCCAGAAATTCCCCTCACCATGTTGAAAGCAGTTGCATAGCAAAGTGAGCGCTTCAGAGCTCTGAATACAGCTTCCTCCTTAGAGATTCCAAATCAAAATAGCTTTTACAAACTTTCCTGAGCACACAACATAGGCTCAGTTAGTTCTGAAAAAGAATGGATGCTTTACCATATGACGGTAGCAGCTAAATCCATCTAATAACTCAAAATGCAAAATAAGGAAGAAAAATTGTCTCCGCATTTCCACAACTATCTATTTAGTAAAAACAATTCCACACTGAACTTGACAATGCCGGCAGCACCAGCAAATTCTATGCAAAACACTGCATTTGTAATAAAGCATCATAGACTTGAAAGGGGTTCCATTTTTAGCACTTTAATGTTTTGCTATGAATATCTTGTGCCTCTCTGGTATGAAACGTTCAAAGGCCGGAGCTGAGAAATGCAGAAGTAAGTCTAGGACTACGATGTTCAGAAACTAAGAGGAACAGGAGAAGTGAAAGATTCTAAATAAAGACAGACTGTAAATGGAATTGAGGAAATGTTTAAGAAGCTGAACTCTCAAAAATAGACAGCCAAGACAGTGCAACTTTTCAGGCTTTATTCTTTCCTCTACCTCGACTGCCCTCTCTCATTAAGCACTTACTGAAAACAGAGATCTCTGCATTCTTAGGCACTAATTTTTATTTAAGCCTACTTTCGTATGACTGCATCCCTTATTACGGATGTCTCTATCATAATATCCCTCTTGAGATAGTATTTGTGTTTAATTTTGATATAACCTGATTTACATATTTAACCCTCTATCATACTGCCTTAAAACTCTATTTTGATTTATATATTAAATGGCAAAAACATGTTAATGCAGAGATAAGTGTGCTTGATGCTATGTCACTCCTCTTGCAGAATGCTGAGTTGAAAAAACTTCAAATATCTGAAAACCAAGAAATACCCCATTAACCTTGCCTATGCAGCCTTAACTCTGTCCTTTTCCATTAATTCCCTAAACACACGTTTCCTTTGCTGATGCCACAGCTGCTAAAACATACAAGCCCTTCACCTCTTTTTATAACCCATTAACTCTCACCTAGAGGATTCCAGCTAATACTATTGAAAGAGAGAAAAGGTCAAAAATGTTGATCTCTTGCAAACTTTTGCAACCTTATGATCAAGAAATGTCCCAGAAGCTAGTTTGGCAACCCTGGCAGCACATATTCCTTTTTCCTCAGCAATCAAAGTATCTGTGTTGTCGGTTCCAAACCTCCACACGGTCTGATGAAAATACCACATTAATCTTCCACAAGATCAGGAACTAGCCACCTATTCCACACCCTCCTGTCATTCTCTTCTCCCCTCCCCCATCACCAATTCCCACAAAGTCATTGTCTCCAGCTCTTCCCTCCGTAACACAACTAAAATGTTATTAGACTGGTTGCTCCCTTCTGCTGTATTCACAGTCAGCACTCTCATAAATTAAAAGCATTACATTACAACCGAAAAGTTAGAGAAACCAACATGCTGGGCTGAGTCATAAAGTATATTACTTGCCTTCCCTCAATGTGTCAGTTGAGTAGCTGATTGTTCTTGATAGGCCATCAAGCAAACGAGGCAGTGAATTATCAAACTGTCTGTGGGTATCATCCAGAAGCATAGCACAAGCTTTGTAAGACAGACAGACACACATGTATATATAACCCAAAAAGCAAAGGTGATACAAACATATAAATGAGATGTTCATTTCTGGCAGATTACAATTTTTTTTTCAGAAATCTTACATGGCATATCTGGCATAACTCATTGCCATTCTACATTTTGATATTCACAATAAAAGGTGAAAGTAAGTAGGCGTGCCCTGGTACGAAGCTCTGGCAAAAGCTGGCTGAGCTGCAGTAAAAGCCAGCAGGGAGCTATTTAAAGAGCTGGCAGGGACCCAGGCTGCAATAGGACAGTCCCTGTAAGAAATTTTAAGTTACTTTCACCGCTGTTCATAATATACTAAAATGTCCCCCAAATTCTGTACTTAGTCAGGGTGGCTAGACTGACATGATTTTCCGCAAATGCTTTTAACAGAAAAGTTTTTCTGTTAAAAGTATTTGCGGGAAAGAGCATCTAGATTGGCACAGACGCTTTTCTGCAAAAGCACTTTTTGCGGAAAAGCGTCCGTGCCAATCTAGACGCGGTTTTGCACAAGAAAGCCCTGATCGCCATTTTCGCCATCGGGGCTTTTTTGCGCAAAACAGTTTTTAGCTGTCTACACTGGCCCTCTTGTGCAAAAACATTTCCGGAAAAGGGCTTTTGCCCGAACGGGAATGTCAAAGCATTTGCGCAAGAAGCACTGATTTCGGACAGTAGAACGTCCGTGCTTTTGCACAAAATCAAGTGGCCAGTGTAGATAGCTGGCAAGTTTTTGCTTTTGTGGAAAAACTTGCCAGTCTAGACGTAGCCAAGTGTGTACAGAGACAGACAGAGACACAGAATTTAATATGCTAACTTCTGGAAAGGACTGGGTCCGTGAAGCACATTTGGGTATTGCTTCAGCCTCTTGGTGAGAGGGGAAGGGAGTACAGCTGGAACCACAACAAAGGCTAGCCCTGGCAAAAAAGAAGCAGTAGTACTTGTTATGGATCCTCTGGGAAAGAAGCAGCAATGGCTACAGGCACTAAGTAGAAAAGAGAGATCCAGCAGGCCTGTTGCTTGGCTAAAGAGATGTTACAGTTGTGGCCAGATGGAATATCTAAGAAGGGCTTGTCATTGGGTGAATTGGGGAACGGGGAGACTGAACTGCAGGAAAAGCCATAAATGCTCTTACACTACGTCTACACTACAGAGGAAGATCGAAGCTGCAGCTGTCGATCTTCCAGAGTTCAAATTAGCAGTCTAGTTACGACAGCTAATTCGAAGTGAGGGGGCACTCTGGTTGATGCCAGTAACCCTGTTTTCATGAAGAGTAAGGGAAGTCGAAGGAAGAGTGTTCTTCCTTCGACTTCCTGCTATGTAGACAGTGCCAAAAGCCAAGGTAAGGTACTTGGACTTCAGCTACGCAATTAATGTAGCTGAAGTTGCATATCTTAATTCGACTTTGTCCTGTACTGTAGACACATCCTCAGTGGCTGAGACATACGCTTAATTATTATTTTTTATTGTGGAGAAGTAGGCCTCATAAAAAGGTTTTGCTCTTTTTGAAGAGGTAGACTTACAGCAGGAAGAAATGCAGAAGCCCTACGAATGGGAGAGGAAAGAGGATGTCTGATGGACAAGGGTGCAGGGCCAGGGGCAGCTGCCCTGCCTTGCTTCTGCTCCCTGCTCTGCTCCCACTGCATTCCTTCCAACCCCTTGCTCCTTCCCCTGTGTGATGCAAGGGGCCGCCGGAGGCCTGGTGCAGAGCAGCAACAAGGGTCACTCTCCCCTACCCTTGCACTTACCACAGAAGCTGTAGCGGCTTAGAAGCCTGCTCCACTCCGCTGTACTCTCTTGGCCCACTGCACTCTGCTTTTGCATAGCAGCAGGAAGCAAAGCACCTGGAGTGAGCTGTTTTGCTTCCTGCTGCTGCAGTCAGCCAGGGTGGGGGGGAGCAAAGCAGGGCGGGGTAGAGCAGGTTGCCAGTCCACTCTGGCTTCCACTGCTGTGCTGTGTGCAGGGGGGTGGGACATCCCAGGCCTCCAGGTAATCCCCTGGTTCCCATCCATAGGACAGTTGAGGTGGCTGCTGCAGGGTCCCCCAAAGCACGGGGCCTGGTGGCCACCCCCAAACTATCTTGTGGAGGGGACAGCTCTGCTGGAGACAGTGAATGCTACAACTGCTCAATAAACCCAAGGGGAAGAAGCATGGAGCAAACCAACTGTGGTCAGTAATATAAACTGTTTTGAATTGTCAATGCACATGGTTGTGGCCCTACCAAGTTCATGATTCATTTAGGCACATTTAACAATCATAGGCTTTTTAAAATAGTAAATTTCACAATTTAAACTCTTTTAATCTGAAACGTTGTGTGTTAACAATTGTAAGGGACCTGACTCAAAAAGGAATTGTGGGTGGGCGCAAGGTTTTTGTGCGAGTGGGAAGGGGAGTATTGTTACCTTTACTTCTGCATCACTGCTGGTGGCAGTGCTGCCTTCAGAGCTGAGCAGGTAGAGAACAGTGGCTGTCAGCTGGGAGCTCACCTCTGGAGGTAGAGCTGCCACCTTCATCAGTGCAGAAGTTGGGTGGCATGGTATGGTATTGCTATTGCTATCCTTCTTTCTGAACTGCTGCTGATAGGGCTTTGCTTTTAAAGACGTGTGCCTGATCAACAGCCACCATTGACTGGCTGCCCTGCCCATCTTGGCACTGGTGTTCCTCTGTTACTGTATACTGTTTTCTTATGGAAGTAGAGGCTTCTGTGCATCTCCCTTTTGGGTCAGGACCCCTCCTGCTGGTTTCCTCTGTGAAATCTGTACAGGGCAACAGTACACAAAATATTAGATTTCATGTTGGGAGACCAGATTTCACGGCCTGTGACAGTTTTTCATGGCTGTAAACTTGGTAGAGACTTACAAATGGTTATTGAGTCCAATGGGGGCCAGGAGCTGACAATGAAGAGCCTGTCAGGGAAACCAGTCCTAAGAGAACAGGAGTTGGTGGTGGAGGCCTTTAGAAGTTGTGAGAAGAGAAACCACAAGAGCAACTGAGTATTCAGAGAGAGGAGGCATCTATGCCACGCCTGGTCACAAGGATGTGAAAGAACCCCTTGACAACCATTGACACTTTGGTTTCCCCAAAGATTTAAACAGTGCCACATGCAACCCTAGGTAAAAATGGAGTGACTGAGATAATTTTGACCTACATTACAGCACTGGTTTATTTCTAGTTCTGTGGGGGGAAAAAAGGGGGGGGAGTAGAGGGTTATAGCTCCAGAAGCCATGGCTCAAATGAACCCCAGAGTGTGTCACTAACCCTACTCTGCATGCCTACAAGGCACAGACAATTAAATCCAGGTTTTAGAGCACTTCTAAGTGTCATCCTTTAAATAAGGCTAGAGATAAGACTCCTCAACACCTCCATCTGCAATGTAGGAGGCTCTGAAATGTGTGAAGGGGTTTGTTCATCTCACTGTGGTGTTTTTGGCTACATGTGAATGCTCACGGAGATTAATACAGCCTGAACTAATAATTCTGAGATGTTTGCATTACTTCAGTCAATGCCATGAGTGTTCTCATCCCCTGCCAGAGTGCATTAGAGGCAGGACCTTCTCCCCACTTGCAATCACAACCCTGGCTTGCTTCTGGGGAGCAAGGTGGGGGCCTCAGACCCTCTCAAAACAGCAAGCCTCCTAGAACCTGTCTCACATGAAGGGGTAGAGAATGGGAATATATGTGCTCCATTGAGACTAGATCAACCTGGACACAGAAGGAGCACAGATCAATGGGTAGAGCTTTGCAAATCCACAAGTATCCACATGCACAGATGTGGATACAGATATTTGCGGATAATTTTTGCAGATATGGATGCGGATACAAATTCTGAATCCACACAGGTCTCTACCAATGGATGCCTAACCAATACTGGAACCCTCTCTCAAAACATCACTTGCGCACTAGAAACAAGTACAGGCAGTGCTCTATTATCACAAGAGACTCAAACTTGCTCCAGCACCAAGTCGCATACAAGGAATACACAAGACTTCATATACCAAAGCATGAAACAACAAGCCTCCCATGCCCAGAGGAAAACCTTAGTTGCCAACGCAGTTGAGAGTGAAGATATGTCTACACAGCAACATTATTTTGAAATACTATCAAGCTGGAGGACTTGTACGAGGATTAAGGGAAGTCGGAGGAAGAGGGCTGTGTAGACGTCCCAGGTTTCAAAATAAGCTACACAATTGATGTAGCTCAGTTTGCATAGTTTATTTCCAGTTAAGCCCTGCTGTGTAGATGCACCCTGAGTGAAGAAACAGCTCTTGTAGATGGGCATCAGCCCCTTACCCTGATACACACACACACACACACACACACACGGGGCACTGAAAGATGCTCAGACACCAAAGGAGGGATAAAGACCTCATTATCTTGGACCATATGAAGGCTACGGGGGGGGGGGGCTCATACCCCCCTAAAGGGACAAGAGCTGTTCTGATCTGCCTTCATATACAGGAGGGAGAATGCAAAAGTGACAAGGAGTCCTGTGGCACCTTATAGACTAACAGATGTATTGGAGCATAAGGCTTTGTGGCAAAGACCCACTTCGTCAGATGCATGTAGTAGAAATTTCCAGAGGCAGGTATAAATATGCAGGCCAGAATAAGGCTAGAGATGACGAGGTTATTTCAGTCAGGGAGTGTGAGGCCCACTTCTAGCAGCTGATCTGGAGGTGTGAACACCAAGGATATGTCTACACTAGTGGGTTCTTGTGCCAGAAATATGCAAATGAGGCTAAGCGTGGAATATCACCGAGCCTCATTTGCATATCTAATGAGCCGCCATTTTGCAGAAGAGGATCTTGCGCTAGAAGGAGCTGTCTACACTGCCCCTTCTTGCGCAAGAAAAACCCTCTTGCACAATGCCGCTATACTGATTATTTTCAGCACAAGAAGGGGCAGTGTAGACGCTCCTTCTGGCGCAAGAGCCTCTTCTGCAAAAAGGGCGGCTCATTAGGTATGCAAATGAGGCTGAGCGATATTCCATGCTTAGCCTCATTTGCATATTTCTGGCGCAAGAACCTGCCAGTGTAGATATAGCCCAAGAGAGGAGAAACTGCTTTTGTAGTTGGCTAGCCATTCACAATCTTTGTTTAATCCTAAGTTGATGGTGTCAAATTTGCAGATGACCTGTAGGTCATCAGTTTCTCTTTGAAGTCTTGTCTTGAAGTTTTTTTGCTGCAGGATGGCTACCTTTAAATCTGCTACTGTGTGTCCAGGGAGATTGAAGTGGTCTCCTACAGGTTTTTATATATTGCCATTCTTAATATCTGATTTGTGTCCATTTATTCTTTTACATAGGGACTGTCCAGTTTGGACGATTTATATAGCCGAGGGGCATTGCTGGCACATGATGGCATATATTACATTGGTAGATGTGCAGGTGAATGAACCAGTGATGGTGTGACTGATCTGGTTAGGTCCTGTGATGGTGTCGCTGGTGTAGATATGGAGTTGGCACCGAGGTTTGTTGCATGGATTGGTTCCTGAGTTAGAGTTACTGCGGTGCAGTGCATAGTTGCTGGTGAGAATTTGCTTCAGGTTAGCAGGCTGTCTGTGGGTGAGGACTGGCCTGCCTCCCAAGGCCTGTGAAAGTGAGGGATCATTGTCCAATATGGATTGTAGATCAAGGATGATGTGTTGGAGAGATTTTAGCTGAAGACTGTAGGTGATGGCCAGTGGTGTTCTGTTGGTTTCTTGCTTGGGCTTGTCTTGTAGTAGGAAGTTTCTGGGTACATGTCTGGCTCTGTTAATCTGTTTCCTCACTTCCTTGTGTGGGTATCGTAGTTTCAGGAATGCTTGGTGAAGATCTTGTAGGTGTTGGTTTCTGTCTGAGGAGTTGGAGCAAATGCAGTTGTACCTTAGTGCTTGGCTGTAGACAATGGATCATGTGGTGTGTCCGGGATGGAAGCTGGAGGCATGAAGGTAGGCATAGCGGTCGGTAGGTTTTCAGTATAGGGTGGTGTTTATGTGACTATCACTTATTTGCACCTTGTGGAGAATGTAGGGCTAACATGCCCTCCACTCCCACCTGCCCTCAATTCTCCCCACCTGAGCCCCCAAATCCTTGCCCCACCAATATCCCCTTGTCCTCACTTCAGTCCCAACTGCCTCTCTCCCTATGGTCCTCATTCTTGCAACCTCCCAGGAAGCATTCACATCTATTCTCCCCCCCCTTCCCTAATGCTTTGATTACATTCCTCCCAAAATAAAACTGCAACTCCCCAACACTCCTGAATTGTAGCAACCCCTAACCACTGAGTGCAAAACTCCCTTTGTCTTAGTTGGGGGCTTGTCATTAATTTCTTCAAGTGGTCTATAATTTGTCTGGTCGTTGTGCTTCTCAGTGGAACAGTAAAAGGCAGCAAAAAGAAAGTATTTTTGTGGGGGAGTCTACACTTTGGACAGACCTTGGGTAAATGACTCCAAATTTGGATCACAAATGCTACCATGTGTCTATCATGGGAACACTAAATGTCAAGGCAATACAGTTATCTGGGTTTTTTTGAGCACTTACAAGAGTCAAGCTTTAAAGCATATGAAGTGGCAGGAATGGAAACTCTGTAGCCTTTTTGAGTTGGTAAATGTGCAGTTTAAAAACAAACATACATTATCTTAAATACTGATCTCAGGATCCTGCAAAGACTTACTGGGTCCTATGTACTTCTTTGGATAAAACTGAGTTTTGGGTAAAACTCAACTGAGTTTGGGTAAAACTCAACCTTTTAGACTTGCCTCGTATCAGCAGTTTGAACTCTAGCTCTGGGCCAAAACAAAAAACAAAAACAAAACAAAAAACTACCTAGAAACTTATTGAGCCCCCAACCCCAAAACAGGATTTTTTATCTTCAGAAAGTCTGGCTCAAATGACTCCAAAAATCTGTGTCATCAAGCATGTCCTGCACCCTATTTAGGCATACTACATTTCAAAGAAATCCTACTAAGTGTTCTGATTTTAGAGGATTTTAAAAGGCTGAGCTTTAAATTGATGTCATGAAGCAACCTTAGTTAGTATTGCAGCTGTGGCACTATAATATATGAATTTAACAAAACTGAACACCAACTCTTCTTTTTTCTCCCCCGTTAACACTCTGGCTTGGCAACTAAGGTATTTTCCTATGAATTTGGGAGGCTTGGTTCATGGCATTATACAAAATTTTGTATATACCTAGCTGGTGACCTGATGCCTGAGCAAGTCTTTCTTGTCATAATAGGAGACTGCCTGCACTTAGTTCTGGTGGAGGGGGAGTGGTGTTTTCAGAATCTGTTCTGATAAGTATCAGGCACTCATTTCTTCTGTGTCCTGCTGATGTAGTCTCCTTGGACTGCATATTTCAACATCCTCCACATAATGTTTTTTAAGATGTCTGTAAAAAGCATATGCATTTGTGAATTTTGGTGAAATACATGCCCCTCTGTAGCTATGTTATATGAAGTTCTTTAGCAGGTCAATCATAGTAGACTTTGGCCATTGTCGGTCTTTCTCTTTTATCTGTTGCTTCTACCACTGTCAGTGGTAGTAATGTTAAGGCTATAAGTACCAAAATATGCATGTGTCTTGATATCAGGCTGCTTTGAAGGCCTTCTTTGGCAGTATTTATCCATTCATGAAAGGCTTTCCAACTCTCGTATTTTTCCTCTTGATTCTTGCAACTTGCTTTAATCGCTTTAGCAATCTTAACTGTTGAATTTTCTTTGCCATTTCATTGGCTGTGGGACTGAATTTGCATTCCTGTGGAAATGACCAAACTCGCTGGAAGTAAACTTGGGTCTGTAAGTGCACAGGTTGGGATACCATGCCCACTGAAATGCTTTGTTGCTCTGTGACATTTACTCTGTTAGCAATTGATAGTTCATCTAGTTTCCAGAAGTCTGAATAGAAGTCTGTAGTAAGTCTTTGTGTGATTTGTGGTGAAAAAGTCCAAGTTCTGAAGAGGATGAAGAGCAATTTCATTGTCTTTTTGCTGGTTGTTTTGCATTCCCCCCGCAAGGACCACAACTGCTCATCAGGTCTCGGATACTCTTTGTCATGTTTGGCTGGTATATAGCATCTCTAGCTTTCTGGATCCAACTGCCATTCCTGAATGGCTCTGATGTATTCACAAGAGAGTTTCTGTTCTCAATTATCTAGGTATTATGATTTAATTGCCTCAATTGTTGTTTGTTCATCTCGTCAGGTTAGTTCCAGTATTCATGAGAGACAGGTGGAGTTTCTTCCCTGATGTCTGTGCATTCTGACAGAATGATGAATGTGAGCACATCATAAATCTTTGTCTTGTATAGTTTGCTCTCGGATTCTTTCCAGCTCCTGCCTTGAATCTGGCACATAACTGGCTCAGCTGAGGCCTCTGTCAGGCTGTCACATTCTTGTATAGTTGCCAGCTCTTTGTGCTGTAGGACTGCTCTGGATAGAAAGTCAACTATGTACACCTCAGTCCCTTTCTCATACTATTCCTGTCAATTGTAATATTGTCATTTCAGTAGCGTGTGCAGAAGGTGTTTTGAGGCTGCTGGCAGTGGCTTTTTAAAAATATTTCTTTAGTTAGAAAGTGATATACCACTAATTGTTTCCTGTCCATGAACATACTGGTTGAATTTCACACATGAGAACACTATTGCAAGACTGTCCTCTTCTACTTAGACATATCTTTGTTCTGTTGGCAATAGTGATCTTGACATGAAAGCTACCAGCTGTCTGTTTTATAGTAGGTATAATGCCCTGGGCTTCCTCTCGCTTTCATCACGTTGTATGGGTTACTCATTCTTTCACATTGTAGTATTTTGTAATGGCGTAGTTGGTCACCAGCTTCTTGATATATCTGAGGACTGCATCATGTTGAGGTAACAGTGTCCATAATGCATCTTAGTTTGGTGGTTGCCTCAGTGGTTCACACGCATCTGAGAGACTGGGAAGAAATGGTCATTCTTACAAACCCTATTTGCTTCTGAACTCTTTTAATATCTTTTAGATGTGTGCATCTGCAGTATTTTTGGGGTCATCTGGCATCACTTGAGAAGTCAAATTTCACCTGTGTACTACTGTACATAACTGCCATTTCTTGGTTTTATGCAATTATAGATTTATTCTTTGGCTCTTTTGAGCAGACAGATGAAGTTGTGGCAGATGAAGGTCTGTGTATCTAGATATCAGAATGTCATCAGCTATTGCTGATTCCTGTGAGCAATGTTAATACACATTGCTGGCAGCACTGATATTCTTCCACTGAAGGTTTGACTCCAAACAGCATTCTCAATCAATTTACTAGTTGGTGTAAAAAATGTGGTGAGATAGCTGCCTTCCTAGTACCAGTAGCACTTGCCAGTATTTTTCTTCTAGCATCACACACTGAGCATATATTTTTTTCTTTTGCTAAGTCAGATGAAACTTCCTCGGTTGTAGGCATTTTGCTGTGACGTCTTTTTTAGTGGTTTTGTTTAAATTGCTTGGGTCTATCCCTATGCACAACTTGCCTTGCTTTTCAATGGCAAGAAAGCTGCATATCTAACTTGTGAGCTCAGTGACTTTTGCAATGATGCCTTTGCTCACTCTTTACCTTATTGCTCTCGTGTTTTTCTTTTAATCAAATGGATAAGCTACAACACATTGGGGACTGACTTAATCATTTAATCTATTTCTAGGTGTAACATACCTGGATGACATTCCATCCTAAAACATCTTGGTAACCTTTTATAAGCTTTGCTTCAAGGAAGTCCCAGTGCATTTTCTGTCTGCTCTAGATAAACAAAAAAAATTATGCATCTGTATATGAATTATTTGTCTCAGATTTAGTGTCGCCAGGTTTATGAATTTCTTTGTAGCTGAAAGCATTGTTTTCTGTAGCATTTTCATGTATACTTTTCTTGGGTGTTCTGCTCGTGACTTACTTTGTCTTGTTATGCCATCATAAATGTTAGTTTAGCTTTGGTTGGATTGTAACTTTGCTTTCTTCTCTTGTACTTTGCTGAGAGAGTCTCTTGTAACCTAGCACATTCATTTATCCCCCTCTCTCTTTGACGTTCAATTTCCTGTTTGTATGCTATTGTCTCATCTTTGCATCTAGTGATAGCCAAAAGGAGGGAAAAAAAAGGCTTGTAAAGTTGATTGTTTTCCACTGCATTAATGTCATATATGCAAAAAACTCATCTTTTATTTCACTGTTTTCTTCCTTGATATGGTGCATTTTATTTTTAATTTTGCAAGCTTTGCCATTATAATTTTTCTTGTCACAATTATTGCATATGACCCAACATACGGAACCTCCTCTGTTAACCTCTTGTTCTAGCAACACAGTACCACAAGTCTGTCTTTACATTTTTTTTCTCTTCTGTGCATTTGCTTCTGCACAAAAGTTTTGCTTAATTTTTGGCTTTTATTTCCTTGTAGTATTATTCTTTCCTGTGCTACTGCTTGAATTATCTCTCTGCTGTGCATAGGGATGTGAGCTTGTTCACTACTTTTGTGTTTGCAGCTCTCAGAGTAGTGTGGGCTCTCCCAGCACTTTCAGTGGAGTTGTATCTTTCATGCCTGTAAGTCGGGCCTGCACAACTCAGAAAGCGGTGAGGGCCATATTACTCCAAAGAAAACAGCTGCGGGCCGCAAGGGTAGGTTTGCGGGGGAGGGAGTGGTGATACTTTATTAAGAATTTTTTAATTAAATCAGGCCTGCACAACATATGGCTCCCAATGCCCTTAGCCTCTCCCCTCCCAGAATCACCCTGTCCCCCCTCCCACTGACACCTCCCCTCCTGCCCTTTTCCTCATTGTCTCCACTTGGCCCCCTGGCATTTGTCTCTCCTGCACCCTGCCCCTTGGTGCCTTCCCCTTTCTCCTGACCTGCCCCCCTCCCCTTTTCCTTCCCCTACCTGGCTTCTGCCTTCCAGTTTGCGGGGCTGCCAGAGCCTTTTTTAATCTGGCGGTTGCTGGCCGTGATGTCACGATGCCATGTCACGCTAGCGTCCTGGCGTCTGCTGGCATCCCGCCCTCTGGCTCACACCCCGCCTCCTCACACCGGAGCTGCACATAGGCAGCTGTTGCATAAATTTGCAAGGTTCGTCCCCTGGAGGCTAGTCTAATTTGCCCACAGAAAAGAGTCACACTTTCAGGCTGGGTCCAACTCAATTTTATTGCTTGCAAGCAAGGTTCGGCTAAAGAGCTCAGTGCTCAAAGCAAAGCCGACCCCCAGCATCAAGTAAGCAAGGGGTCTTATAGGGTTAACATCCTTCCTGGTTTATGTACCTTAACATGATTGGTTACCTTATTTTGCTTCTAATATCCTTGGAAGTCAGGTTTATCTCCAAATAAGGTTAGCTGCATAGCCCGGCAGCGAGAATTGCCGCACTTCCCCCTCCCCGGCGGTGCTCTGCTCCTCCGCCCAGCCGGTGGATCAGATGGGGCTGCACCGCCCGTAGTCGTCACGGGCTGCACAGTGAGCCTTATGGGCCACATGCGGCCCGCAGGTCGTATGTTGTGCAGGCCTGCTATAAGTAATCCGTTGCTAAATAGTTCATCTCTTAAGGTTTGATTACTGCATGAGACAAGCATCTTGCACAGCTTGGCAATATACTGAGCTATTTCTCCAGATTCTTGATGAATTGTAGAAAAGAGATCCTTTGCATATGGTACTCCTTGCAGGTCAAAACCAGCTTTTGAGTGCTTCTAGCATTTTCCATGGGTCCTCGCATTCTGCTGCTGACAGCTATATGTTGATGGAGCATATGGCAGATTTTGTCCATTAGTGTCTGATACAGTGTGGTGGTTTTTATTTAAAATTATTTTGTCTTCCATTTTATTCATTTGCAAATGGACTAGTCTTTGCAAATGGACAGCCTTTTGCTCAAAAGACATCCCCCTTTTGTGCCCTTCTGGGGAGTGCTCTCCTCTGTCCTCATATTTGGAGGGAGAAGGCTCTGAGATGGCCAGAGGCTGGGTACTTGCCCTGTGTGTGGGCTGGTGTTGCCTCCCCCGCACTCCTAGGATTTCTAGAAGCAAACACTGCCCTCATGTACTCAGAGGAGGCAGTCTCTGGGGATGCTAGAGGCCTCACTCTCCATTCTGAAGGGGTTCTAATGGGGCTGAGTCTATGTGACAGGATGCGGGACAAAGGTCTGCAGATCCAGAATTCATGCCCATTCTTTATTAGAGGAACAAAATAGAGCATACTGGAGATAACCTAGCCTTGATTGGGAAGCAGAGACAGCTGCTACCTAATTAGGCTGGGGCTGCCTAAAAGCCCCTGGGGGAAGAGAGCAGGAAGAAAGGAGAAAAGCAGGGAGTTACCTCTCCCACCTGCAGATGTTGAAGGGCTCCTTGTAAAGGGTGAAATGGTGGTGTGGGAACAAGACTGTAAATAAACTGCACTGGTGGGTTTCTGAATCCAAGGTCTCGTAGTGACTTTGTGGACCTTGCAGAGACAGAGCCAAGGCAGCCCAGTTACTGGCTGCAATGAAAGAATAAAATAACTGAACATTAGAGAAAATGGACTTGCAATTTTATTGTAACTAGTGCTTTTAGCACAGAGAATCATTGTTTAGTTTTATGATAATAAATTCTGGGCTCTTCGCGTGCTTGTATATATTTGTTTTAATAACGATGTCTAATAGAAAAAATGTTGATCATTTCAAGGAGTTTTGTGTTGTTCCTCATTTCAGAAGGTGGGGATTGAGAGGTAAGCTCATTTAGCACTTTGTGAAAGTAGAGTTCTCTAACATAGAGTTCGTAGGTGTTACATAAACATGCTGTAATGCATCCCATTGGGAAGCTATCATAACACTGTGAAACAGAACAATTAACAAGATCATTGGTTTTATCAACTCCTGATTAGGCTTCAGGTAATTGATGGTTGATCTCTTATTTGAGATTCAAATAGGAGTAATCTGAACTATGCTTATGTTATCAGGATGGTTATATTATCAACACACAGACCCTGTGTGTTTCAATGTAAACTAGTTTTACAGTTCTATTTTCATCTCTTTTCCCACACATCTGTCTCTAAGAGACTTTATTAAATTCCAAGTTCTGGATGTAGCATTTCTTGAGGACACTTGCTGGTTATTAACAGGGGATATGTATGTTCCACTGTAAAATTCTAAACATAGGAGCAGAGCTGTCCCATCCATAGGACTGTTTGGGGCTGCTGCCCAAGCCCATTGGCAGCCACCTCAAGTGTCCCATGGTGGGGGATTACTGGGGGGGCCTGGTGCCAGATGGCAGCAGAAGTTGTTCCCTGCTCTACCCTCACCGCAGTGGCAGCAGCTAGAGTGACCTGGCAGCTTGCTCCATTCTGCCCTGTTTAGGGTTGCCAGGTATCCGGTATTTGGACTTTGTGTTCAGTAAACAAACTGAGAAAATACTGGACATAGAAATGTCCGGTATTTTCTAATTAAATAAGTTTTTCCTGGGTCCAGCTCGGCGCCTGACGGAAGCCCACACTCGGGACCACATTTCGGCCTGACCTGAATCTGTCACCCGTCCCAGGTCTGGTTCCTCTCCGGTGTTTTTTTTTTTTTTTGCTCGACAAATTTTTATCTGTTTTTTTTCTTAAACCATCTGGCAACCCTAGCCCCGCTCCCCATCTCCTGGCCTGCTGCACTCTGCTTCACTGTGGCAACAGGAAGTGGAGCACTCTGACGGCCCCAGGACTTTCTGCTTTCTGATGCTGCAGTGAAACAGAGCACAGTGGGCCAGGAAATGGGTGGTGAGGAAGAGTGGAGCAGACTCTTGGGTTACTCCAGCCTCCACCGTCGCCAAGCCCCCTACATTGCTCACAAGAGGGGGCTTTTGGACAAGGGGATAGCTAGCGAGTTGTGCTTCTGCATGTGGAAAGGGCTCAGCTCCGTGGAGCAGAAACTGCAGGGGAAGTGGGGGCAGCTCCCTGGGCATGGGCCAGTTCCTGGGCAGTTGGGCTCACCTGCTGCTGCGGGAATTGGAGTAGGCAGGGTCCCAATGCTGTACCTCTCCGCTCCACTGTGATGAGACCAAACAAAAGCTGCTGCTGGGTTCCATGTCTCACAAGCCTTTGGTAGCAACAACACATGATGCAACATCTATTCCCTTCCCCTCCTCCTCTTGAGACCCTCACGCTACCCCTTACATACTTATTTACTATCCCACAGAGAGGTGAAAGTTAGGTGGGTGCATCCAGGTGTGCAGCTCCAGCAAGAACTGCCTAAGGTGCAGCAAAAGCCAGCAGGGAGCTATTTAAAGAGTGAGCAGGGACCCAGGTTACAATAAGACAATACCTGTAAGAAATTTTAAGTTACTTTCATTGCTGATCCCACATTATAGAAAAAAGGCTTTTATGCAACTTTTATCTGCACTCATACTTTTAAAATCATCTTTAGTCCCTACTCTCTTGCTGCCTCTTCTCTGTAAACCCCCTGCTTCCAGCACTCATTTGTGTTCTCTCCCTCCTCCCTTTTAGATGGCTTGCTGCTGTGGATGAGGGTTGAGCCTGATGGATGAGGAATCCGGGCAGGGCTCTAGCTGTAACCCCAACTTAAGGTTATCTCTTTAGGATAACCTATGCTTAACAGGAACAGATTTCAGCATTGCTGCCCTGAATTAGGGATGCTATTTACAAGGAAAGTCCCCAATTCTTTTCTGTAATGAAGCTTAAAAGGATTGTATCGAAGCCTCTGACTTCATTGATTAAACCACAGGTGTTTGCTTATTTTGCATATTTTTTTTGCTGAAGATCAGTTGCAGGCTTTCATATTTTTTTTTAATGTTGATAAGGGTTGAGAACAAGAAGGTGAAACCTCTCAAATGGAAAGGTTGGTGTGCGGCTTAATGTTGCGGTATGACGCAAATATATAGCTTCCTTTATCAAGACAGCTCTGTTTTTAAACAAATAATCTTAAATGGGTTCTCCATTTTGACTTGCAAAAAACATTAGGCCTGACACTAGAATGTTCTATCCTTAAAGGAAAAACTTTAAAAAACAACAGATAATCTGGCAGTTTAAGGTGCAGGAAGACTATTTGTTGTTTTTTAGGTTTTTCTAGGAACAGGCTGATAGCTCTGGAGCTA